CCTCCCACCCTGCCTCGTACCCACGCAGCGCAGCATCAAGGCCGCCGTTGCATGCTGTCCGTGTGGTGTGACGGTCGTGTGCCGCCTCAGACAGGTCAGCTTCTCCCGCAGACCGGCCCTGTGTGGGGTCTGGCGCAGGGCGAGTCCTCCACGGATGCCTGAGCAAGCGAGTGGAAACGACCCACTGTCATGGGGCGGGGGATGAGCACGCGCGCGCTCTCCACACTGGAGGGCCTTCCTGGGGTGCGGGGCCTCCATAAAGCGGCTGAGAGCCTGTTTCTTCTGAACGTAACCGTGAGCGTGTTCTCTGCTGCAGAGAATTCCAGAGGCTGCTCCTGAGAGCCAAGAATGTCCACACTGAAAGTAAACGTTTTCCAGAAATTGAAGAGGATGAGAGGCCTGAGGTCTGATGCTCACTTCGGGGGAAAGCAGAGCAGCCTCATGGCGGTCCTGGCCGTGTGGCGTTCAGCTACAATGTGAGACGCTCCTTAAATGCTTTACAACTAATCTGCAGTTAATCTAGATACTCATGCAGTCGTGCAGAACAGAAAAGATTCAGAGCATAAATGTAAACGATAAATAATCAGATAGAGCTGACTATCAGAGGCTGGAATCCTCTAACAGACAATTGGCCATTTCATTTTCTGTTTTCTATTGGAAGTCATTTAGACGTGTTCAATGCCCTTGGAGAAGAGAATAAGAACATCCTATTGTTGCAGAGATTAGCAATAAGAAAAAATCACTGTGAAAGAGAGAGGAATTCACATCCATCTCACAGTGCCACCTTGCCATACACTCTGGTAAGTCGAGGAAATGTTTCTATTGACCCGCTTTTCACTTAATAAAGGCTGACTGAGCATCTATTGTGTGCTAGGCAACATGTTTCCAGGTGACGAAGACGGTGGATGGCAAGGCAAGTAACTCACCCTCAGCAGAGTGGACTGAAACCCATTAAAAGAAGTGAGAAACTTCCAACATCTTATTTACTGGTTCAAAACAACGTCTTCCCAGGGACCATTCTTAATGATTCTTGTGTTCACACAGCACCGTCCAGTTTACAAAGAGCTTCCACGTGTCTCATCTGGTGTCCACTGTGACCCTTAGTGGTCAGCGGGACTGTTATGGATCCAACTTTGCAACCAGGAAGGTGACGTGAAGTGTCCAAGACAACACACCAAGGCGAGTCATCGAGCCCGGACCGGAACCAGGTCTCCTGGCTCCAAATCTAGTTCTTTGTCCATTTACCCTGCATTGAGACAAGAGGTCAGACCAGCGCAGCTAAAAACGGCCTCGGAACTCTACTCTGGCAAAGACGTTATTTTTATAAAATGGGATCTCATTTATGTTTATGTGGGGCCATAAAGAAATTGAAGGATGGGGTTGGCCCCATGGCCAAGTGGTTAAGTTCGTGCGCTCCGCTTTGGCGGCCCAGCTAGCACCACTTATCAAGCCATGCTGAGGTGGCGTCCCACATGGCATAACCAGAAGGACCTACAATCAGAATATACGACTCGAATAGACAACCATGTAGTCAGGGGCTTTGGGGAGAAGAAGAAGGAAAAGAAAAGAAGATTGGCAACAGATGTTAGCTCAGGGCCAATCTTTAAAAAAAAGACACTGAAGGATGAGACTGCGATCTTTAGCACTCATCCCTTCCTCCAATTACACGTCTTAAGAGCTAACAAAGACTTTCCCCATCCGCAGAACCCAGGCAGGAAAAGATGGCGCTGTATGCGGAATGCTGTTGGTAAACTGGGGATCTCAGAGGCTGCGCTTCCGCAAGATTTAAACAACGACTCATCAAAAATGCACCAGAGTCTAAGCCCTTGACGCTTCTTTGGGGCTCAGCTGTCTCTTCAGAGTCAGACGCAAAAATCAATGACACACATCCTTGAGGAAATGAAAGCCAAAACACTTCAAGCTGCACCAAGGGAAGATCTTCCAGACGCGTCCCTCGGAGTGAGGCTGATGGTGAGCGTTCTTTAGTGAGCTGCGCAGCCCCAGTGCAACGTAAGTAAACGTAACCTAGAGGCTGGTGACAGGAGATTCTGCTCCTCTCTGGCCCTCCGCCCTCCCTCCCTTCTCTGTTGTTACTCAATGGCTTCTATAACTCCTATCAGCTTACAAGGCCTGTCAGTGCAGGCGTCACTTCCAGCACCATTAACTTGGTGCCCTTTGGGTGGGCCCGTGTCTGAGTTGGCGGTCTCTCGTACATGCAGAAGAGTTGTGAAGAAAGGATAAAATTTCCAAAGGGTAAGTGCCGTTGTGCTGTGGACTGAATTGTCTCTCCATCGAGTTCACATGTTGAAGCCGCTGGTCCCCAGTGAGATGGCAACTGGAGACGGGACCTTGGGGAGGTCACTGGGTCCAGATGAGGCCACGAAGGTAGAGCCTTTCTTGATGGGACTAGCGCCCTTGTAAAAAGAGACGCCAAAAGCTTGATGCCTCTCCCTCCCCCTCCACCTGAGGAAAGACCACGTGAGGACACAGCGAGCAGACAGCTGTCTGCAGCTCCCGGAGACAGCGCTCAGCAGACACCGAGGCGGCCGGCAGCCTCGTCTTGGACTTTGGCCTCCAGAACTTCGAGAAATAAACTGTTCTTTCTGCCCCCCAGTCTTAAATTTTGTACGGCAGTCCTCGATGACCAAGATATGCAGCATAGTGAAAAGGGATGCAGTTGGCACCAGAAAACCTGGCTCACCTCTTGTCCTCCCTCAACCTCTCTGTGCCTCAGTTTCCTTATGTGCAGAATGGGGAATATCTCCCCTCACCCCAGCGTCACAAGGCTGCTGCGAGAATCCAGGGAAAGCAGCTTTGTAAACTGCCAGCAGAATTATTTTTTTGCTCTTCTCTTGAAGATGTTTAGTTTCATGATTCAAATAATTTGTTGTTGGGAATCTGCTACTAAAGCTGAAATCCAAAAATGGCATAGGAAAAAGAAATAAAAACAAAATGGAAAAGAGGTAGGGTAAGAGCTCTTCAAAATGTTTTTGTTTTAAAAATGTTGGAGAGTTGAACCTATGCACACTAATTTTTTAAGTGAATTTTTATGCACTTAAAATTTTGGTTTGGTTGTTAAAAAAAATCTGACAGAGCTTTCAAAATCTTGTTTGAGTTCCTTTACTGGAACTCATGAAAAATTATTGTAATTCTATTTGTTTATGTTATAGGATTATTTTGTATTTTATATATTTATATTTTGTATTATATAGTATTCTCTATGATATTTGGGGGCGAATTACATTGATATAAGAGTCTGACAAATAATTGGCAAAGCAGGGAACTACGATATGAATGGTCTGAAGTTAAAAATGGGACCTAGGTTTTGGGACTGAACTTATCCTATGTCGTGACGAATGGCACCTCCTTGCAGCGTGCAATATTTTAGCCCAGCAATTATGGAGTTCTTTCCTGACTTTCTTTAAAATGATTTTTTTATTTTAGGGCATAATTAGATTTATAGAAAAACTGTAGAGCTTGTACACAGAGCCTGTAAACCCCACACCTAGTTTCCCCCATTATTAACATCTTAACGTTGGTATGGTGTATACGTCACAATAAATGAACTCATAATGATACAGTGTTACTAACTGAAGTCCTTACTTTATTTGAATTTCCTTACATCCTTTTTTGGTTCCAGTTTCCACCCAGGACACCACGTCACATTCAGTCCTCTGGGCTTCTTAAGCTCCTCCCAGACTTTCCTCGGTTTTGAGGACCCTGACAATCCTGAGGAGCCCTGGCAGGTGTTCCGTAGAACGTCCCTCAGCTGGGAATTGTCTGATATTCACTCATGATCAGATGGGTTCACAGACTTTTGGGGGGGAGACTCTTTTTTTTTTTTTGAAGATTTTATTTTTCCTTTTTCTCCCACAACTCCCCAGTACATAGCTGTGTATTTTTAGTTGTGGGTCCTTCTAGTTGTGGCATGTGGACGCCGCCTCAGCATGACCTGACCAGTGGTGCCATGTCTGCATCCAGGATCCGAACTGGCGAAACCCTGGGCCGCCGAAGCATAGCACGCGAACTTAACCACTCAGCCACGGGGCCGACCCCCAAACACAACCCTAGTGTTTTTTGGGTTTTTTTGAGGAAGATTAGCCCTGCGCTAACTGCCATCAATCCTCCTCTTTCTGCTGAGGAAGACTGGCCCTGAGCTGACATCCGTGCCCATCTTCCTCTACTTTATACGTGGGATACCTACCGCAGCGTGGCTTGATAAGCAGTGCCATGTCTGCACCCAGGGTCTGACTTTGGGGCTATTCTGGCAGGGAGTCAGATACTTCTCTGGCGTAAGGAAGAAGCTTTTGGCCTAAGCAGCGTGGTCCAAGTGGACATCTCACAGTGGGGCAAGTACGGCAAATACAGAGAGAATCTTCCAGCAGGATCTATTCTCTGAATAGGTTTATCTAGTGCCAAGAGGCCACCGGCTGCCACAGTCTGTTCACTGTCTTAAATCCTTTCTTTCTGAAGGCTCTCAATACATCCTATAGTAAGTTTTCTGTGGGGAAAAGGCTCTTGGTTTAATGGAATTTAATGGGAAAATAGCATTTACCTTACAGACATTCCCGTAGGCAACACGACTGAACTAGGTTGGATATTGGAACCCCGTGCTTTCCCAAACAGGAGAGCCTGAGCGAGAACGCGGGCTTCACGTCCCCAAAGGCCTCTCGCCGCCCCGCTGCTCGCGGCACCCCTCCAGAAGGGCCTTTCCACGGAGTCCGCCCCACACCAAGCGCCTGGGACGCTACGAAAAAGCGGGTGAACCTCAGCCTCCAGACCCGGGTCCTGCGGGGCAGGCGGCACTGACTCAGGAGAACCGAGAAGGAATTCGAATCTAAGAAACTGGAGGAATCCCGAAATGCTCCTCCCAACAATGAACTTCCTATTTAATTTCTACCAAGGCTGCGCTGTTAGCGAGAGCAAAAACAATTTCCAAAGACAGAAAAACAGAAACACTATGGAACACGCGTGCATGCGCTCCATCTGCAGTTTGGTGTTTGCAGCTGATGAAAACTCCCCGGGGTGTGTGTTCAGTCACACAGTACTTCACGAGCCCACTGCAGTCTTTAGAATGAGTCTGCTCTGTGCAGCTATCACAATAGCTCCTGTCTATTTAGAGCCCATCTGGCTACACACTTATCTCATTTAATCCTCTCTGTTGCAGATACTCACCATCCTCCAGTATAAATGAGGAAATTGAGGCTCAGAGAACTTAAGTAACTTACCAAAGGAGACACAGGGAGGATCAGGATTTGAACTCAAGGCAAGGATGTTTGGCTCCAAAGTCTCAGCTCCCACTGGCTTAAACTACCTTTGTGTCGAAAAGTTTACAGTCACGTGCTGCAGAAGATGCTTCAGTCAGCCACAGATGGCATGTATGACGGTGGTGCCCTCAGATTAGTACCGTGTAGCCTGGGTGTGTAGTGGGCTGTACCATCCAGGTTTGTGTCAGTAACTATGATGTTCGCACAGTGACAAAATCACCTGACGGTGCATTTCTCACGATGTGTCCCTGTCGTCGTGTGACACAGACCGTATTTCAAAATGCCCTCTGTGAGCGAGGACCATGTCTTTTCTTTTCATAATAGTTGGGGTCTCACAGTTGATTTCCATTCACATGATACATGTCTAATAATATTTGAAAATAAGGATGTGGGGATGTATTATTTCTGCTGATTATCGCTGCCAAGGTAAAAAGAAGCCAATTGTCTCACCCTGATTGACTCACAGACCAACAGAAGGGAAGGGACAGCCACCAGCAGCCCTGTGACCGAGAAGCAGAGCTGGAGTGTCTCGGATGTCCATGCTCTAAACTGTAGCGTAGTGACAGAAAGTCTGAGGCGTAGGAAGGCCAACAGATCAGGAAACGGTGGCCATTGAAAAGATGGTTTGTCACAGTTCCCGAGAGAAGGGGACATGCCAGGGCTCCAGGGGCCAGGCTGGGAAGCCCCAGGGCGGGTCAGGAGGAGGGGGCAGACGGAGAACCATGGCCGGAGGCCCCATTGCGGGTCCCATAGGAAGGAATGGGGGAGGCAGGGTCAACAGGCGTAGGATTAGCGCGTCCGGAGAATCTCGCAGGCTCTGGGAGGTGGAGCCATCCCTAATGTCTGGTGCCTGGCCCTGGGTGAGGAGGGCAGCTGGGGCAGGACAGCCCCACAAAGACGGTGGTGGGGTGTGGGCTCTCGAGTGGTCGGTTTGTATTTGAAAAGCGCTCCCGGGCAGACAGTTTGCGCTCTCTAGGAGTTGGCCAACCCTGGGAGGTGGAGTCCCGCCAGGGTCAGCAGGACCCCAAGATGCCAAACCACCAGAATAGGGAAGATAAAAGATGTGGTTGACTCACTCCAGCGAGAGGACTGCGGGCCATTCATACAGATTTACCCATAAGCCAGTAGAAGGATCCAAAGCGAATTCAGCTGTAAACAATGGAGAGGGGCCTTAATGCCGTGAAAGAGAACTCTCACATGTACGAAAATCAGAAACAAATAAAAAAAAGCAACGACGACTGGAAGGCCAAACGCGGTGATCTGGGCCACGGCTGTCTGAGCTACCGGAACAGACCGTGGTGAGCCGGAGCGTCACCAGAGACACGCCCCGCTGCACAGAAAGTTCAGCGTGCAGCAAGCATTACAAAGCAGAATTGCAACTATTTCTCTTAAATTCAGCTCATTAGTGAGCTGCGTCCTGCACTGCAGTGTACATAGTGCACACACGTGCACACACACACACGGCAATGGTTTGCCTAAACGTGAGCTCAGCATCGGACACCCCCGGCCCTGCCCAACACACACCGTATCACACATTCTCCAGATCTGTGCTTAGCGGGTCCAAGTCGATGGGCCTAAAATGGGCCTTTTTGGTTTTCTCAAAAGATTTGAAAGCATCACGACAAAGCAAAGTTAGGCCTGCCTGTTTTGACCCCACAGCTTCCTTAGCACCAGAATCAGTATTTTCACACCCCACAGCACTGTCTTACTCCAGGGACTGTCTTCTTCACACTCGCCACAGATCACACGCCACATTATCTCAGGTTCCAGCAAGCACTTTATTCTCCTCGTTAATGTCTCAAAATTGCTGGAGGCCGAACCCTGATAAAGTCCTTGGGCAACACACAGCCAGGTTTACAGAGAAGCGCGGAGGGGCAAGAGGATGGAAGTTTCCGTTAACCAAATTTCTGAGTATTTTTCTTTGGAAAAGTCCCCAACCAAACTTGAATAAGCTAGACACAGTGTCGATAGAAGTAGAAGAAGTAATCTGTGAAGAAGATCCCAGCAAAGTAAGGGTCCGTGGAACAGTCAGCCAGATCCTGCCAGAAGAGGAGGAAAAAGGGGACGATTAATGGAAGCATCAACTGTTATTAAAGTGACTGACTGATTTACTTATTTATTTATTTATTTAATGGTCCACTTCTTTCTCACTTAAAAAAAAAAAGAAAGCTTACCGGTGCAGCCACTCGGAAATGGAACGCGCTATCAAAGAAGGGGGCCACTGGGAGGCTCCAGATGTGCCGACAGCCCTGCAGAACGCAGGAGAGAGAGACGCATGTCATCACCACACCCCACACTCCACTTGGAGGGGTGGAGGCGGAGGCAGCGTTCCCTGACTACCCTGGGAGAGCCATCTGTGACGACAGCTCTCTACGGGGGCTGCTAGAACCATCTGCACTCTGCAGGACCCACGGAAGACACTGAGCAAAGCCGATGACAGGCTCAGCCCCCACGGGGAAGCACTGGTGCTGGGTCAAGGCATCTCTTACCAGGGAACAGAGGCTGTGCCACCGAGGGGCCGGGAAACATTACCTGTGTCATCTCCCGGATGACTCCTTCGTGGTTTTGCATCCCTTTGGCTTCGTTTTTACTATGGAAACATATGTTTCCAAGGGTCAGTTTGCACTGGAAGACTATCAACGGCTCTGTTGTGCTGCAAGAGACACAGGGAAGAAAGGGCACACGGACAAGCAGTTATCAGCTCCCACCAGGCTACACCTTGATGAGCAGAGGGTCTAACGGGAATGTAACTTGGAAATCCATTCAAAGTTCCAAGTAGGCACCTTGTTACACACAGCTCACCAAAGCCAATATGCTGGCTCACATCTCCTCATTACAGAAAGAAACTCAGCCTCAGATGACGACTGTTGTGGACTGAATGTTTGCGTCCCCTTAAATCCATCTGTTGAAATCTTAACCGCCAATGTGCTGGTGTTGGGAGGTGGGGCCTTTGGGGGGGGATCAGGTCTTGAGGGCGGAGCCCTCATGGGTAGGATCACTGTCTACATAAAAAGGACCCCAGAGAGTTCTCTCCTCCTCCTGCCACGTGAGGACACAGGGAGAAAACGCCATTGACGAACCAGGCAGCAGAGCCTCACCAGGCACCAAATCTGCTAGCTCCTCGATAGTGGACTTCCCCACCTCCCGCGCTGTGAGAAATAACTGTTTGTGGTTTAGGGCTCCCAGTCTATGGCATTTTTGTCATGGCAGCCTGAACTGACTAAAACAACTACTCAGACGGCATGTGACAGTCTCCAAAACCTACTCTCATGACTCAAATCACCTCAACATCAGAACTTCTTATCTCCATGGATTTGAAAATAATTTTTGCATACATCCCTTGTCTTTCCACTGGTAGCTGAATTTGCATCCATCTGAAGTTGCCGGGATTTCAGATTCTGCAAACACCTGGTCCAGGTAGCTATGGTTTGAAGCAGCAAGAGAAACAAACACAGGCAAGGGTGTGGGGTGAGCCCGTTAGGAAGTGCCAGCCTTGCAGCTGTCAGAGCAGAGCCCTGCCACAAAGAACAGTTCTCGGGAGGTTGGCCTGCTAACCATCAAGAGGAAGAGGTCCGTCTGCCTTTGGATCTTTCTGTGGAAGTGGGACAACCTACAATCTTAGTGGAGTATATGTGTTATTTTAAAATCACCCATATTAGAAAACTGGTCCTTAAACTAGAAAGCCTGACTTAGCAGCTGAAGATGAGCTGCCACTTTGGGGATATTCCATTGAAGCTTACTTCCCTCCACGGAAGCTCGGGGGGAAGGAGGAAACTCCGCTCCAGGTTACTCGGGCTGTGCCAGAGAAGAGCACATTCAGCTTTTGCTCTGCCTGGAAATGCGGGTTCCGAGTCATGAAATATTAGCAGCTTGAAATGAACCTTTCCAAGGCAAGCAGCTGCGCTGAGTGTCATGAGCTGACTGTGGAAGCAAAGTCGGTGAGAGAAGGAGTGTGAGGCCTGAGTGACAGAGAGGAAGAGACAGAGCCGGAAACAAGGGAGGAGCAGGGGAAGCAGAGGGAGCAAGGGGAGGACAGGCGAGCGGGGTGGGGGGAGAGGAAATGTGGGGGAGGGAGGAAGGAGAGCCCCAAATCGAGAGACGAAACATAACCACCTCTTTTCATGGTGAGGACTTCATCGCATAACTTTTGAGTGAAGTGTGTCAAAAGTCTTAAAGTACGGTAATTATTTAAAATATCTGATAAGAATAGATTAAACGGGAGTTCTGTGGTCGTGGAGGAAGGATAGTCATAATAAAAGCTACCATTTATTGAGTGCCTACTGTGTGCCAAGCAGAGGCAATGTTCTTACGTATCTCACCTCGTTGAGGAGGTGGGAAAGTGATGGTTTACAGGACGGGCTGAGCTGGGAGGCCAGCTCCACATCTTACTAGCTGTGGATGTGGCACAGGCTTTTTGACCTCTCTAGCCCCAAATGATCCCATCTGAAAAATATATACTCAAAAAAAGTACCAAGTTGTGAGGATTGTATGACCCAGTGTTAGGGTGTAGAGTGTCCGGCGTACCGTCTGTGCTCAGCAAATGGCGGTTATTCATTTCACTGTTATTAGCAGCGATTCCCACAGCAGCTCTACTCGTCATGGTATAATGTCAAACTCACTTTACAGATGAAGAAACAGTAGCTCAGAGGGAAGTGGTTTCTCCAAGATTATAGAATTAGTAAGTGACAGAGACAAGATCTGAGCCCTGACCCGCCCAACTCCAAGCTCCCACTGCTTTTTCTAACTCCCCTGGGGAAAGGGGGCAGTGTCTGCATTCACACTGCTAATGGGAGCTCACAAAAATGTGCAGCCCCCACCCAGGACCATACCGTCACTCTGGTTCCCGCCCCAATTCAAAGGGACACAGCCAGGGGCAGTCTGCAGCGTCTGAGCATCAAACCTGTGCTCACCACCACTTCGCAGGAGCGAGTGTCCAGCCCAGAGCCTTTCCATGCCCCTCAGGGAGTCTGGATGCCCCCAGCCCTCGTTCCGAAAACCCACCCTCAAGCTAGCCCACCTCTCAACCCAAAATCGTTAGTTAACATGGACTGACAGCTTTCTGCTCCTAACTTTCTGATGAAATTGTAAAATAAATTCAGACTGGAATCCAAATCATGATGGAAACTGAATTGTTTTTACAGCTACGCACTTACTTGATTTCCAAAGAAAATTTGACATTGGTGGGTGTGTACTTATTAACAGGAATACTGTAATTGTAAGATCCAGACCTAATTATGGAAAAACACAAAACCACAAATCAAAATTTGCAGGAAAGGCTTCAAAAGGCTTTTTGCTACTCTTTACATACCGTGTAAACTGTGAAATACTATATAATAAATAATAAACACAGAAAATCAAGTTTAACATGGTATAGTTTTATGTTTTTCAGAGACATATCTGTCGGATTTCTGAGTGCTCTCTTTCAGGTCTTAATATATGAAATATACCACACAGATTTACAGTTTGTTAGAACACGCAGCCAAAATGATGGATAGTCAAACCGCAGACCAAACGCATCAAACCAAACACACAGGAAATGACGTCAGTTGCCCTGGAGGAGGGACAGACTTCAGAGACAGACGCGGCGAAGGCCTCAGACCAACAATCCCCCAGGAAAGGAGGCCCAGAGACAACGAATGCCAGCCTTTCTACCGTAAAGCACTCCCTTTTAGGCAACATTAACAGGAAATATCGTGCACTTTCAGAACTCGAATCAACTCACATCGTTATAGGCCTAATTACCACTCAGTAACGGAAAAACGCTCCCACAGAGAGCCCCCCTTTCAAGAGAGATACTGGGGGGAGAGGGGAGAGGCCCTGATTCACATTGTAAGGAAAACTCCAGCAAAAGGCAGATTGTAGCTAATACAAGTCCTCCTGACTTGGCCATCCCTTGAATTACATGGAGACACAGCTGAAAACCAGATAAATGGGAAAAAGAGCCAGTCATTTTAGATTCTTTTACTGAACACTAAGCTAAGCTGTTAGAAATGAGGAAGCAAGAATAGAGGAGCGGATCTGAAGAGGGAACAGAAGGACTTTCTTCCACTGGAAGAAGCTGAGACGAGTGGAACTCACTTGCGACTACGCGGCTCCCGCACCTGCAGGCTTCACAGCATCCCCGTCAGCAGTGTCTCCCCCTCACAGGCAGAAACGGACACGCGGGAGAGGACACACCCCGTGGCGGCTCCAGAATCTGAACCTGAACCACCCGCGTCTTCTTCACTATGTCACCCCACCACATTCATGAACGTCTGTCTCTGACGTTCTCAAGCTTCCTGAACCTTGAGTTCCTTAATGACAAAATGGGGATAAGTAATGCCAATCTCATGTTGCTTTTGTGAGAACTCAGGGAGACAGTGCACGTAGAGGTCATAAACACACCATAAAGCACCGTACAGTTCATTTTTAAAAGTCAGGACCATCAACTCAAAGCCTAATTATATCACGTTGAAAAAGAAAAAAGGCTGAGAATCCACAGGATTTGTGACATCAGTTCCAAATACAGGGTCTTGCCTTTTACCGGGCAGGCACCCAGCAAATATTCACAAGAGAAAGAAAACTCCCGTCTGTTCTCAATGCCTACAACTTGCGCTTTGTGCTTGCGGGAGCCATCTGCATGCCCTGCTTCTAGACGCATCGTCACCTCAGGACAGGTGGCACGGCACACGCGAGAGATGGATCTTGCTGGCAACTTCTGCAATACCGGGCTTTTTTCCCTTCTAACTGAAAAAGCTAAGAGAAGCGATATTTTTTTAGCAATTAAAATAATGATATCCCTTGTTATTAAAATATACAAATGTCAGCTCTCTCATAACTTGGAGCCATCAGTAACAATCCTTTCTTGTCATAAAATGAACTAGCAGCTCTGTGCCTGTGGGACGCGCCCTCAGACAGCCAGCCACAGAGCTGTCCCTAAGCTTTCTGCTTTGGACGTGCCATCGACATAGGAGACTGGAACTGCTGGAGGCTCGGTTTATCGACATTTGCTAATACCAACCGCTTTATGATTCCCTCGCCCACACGTGACAAATGTGTTTTCACTTAAGGGGCAACGTAAGCATACATTGACTCTACCAGTAGCTTCAGCTTTCATTCCAGGCTCAAAAACCCAGAGCCCTGAGTCAATTCCGGAAACAACAGGAGTACAGCGGGGCGGCTCACCCACCTGCACTGCCGGCCTCGACGGCAGTAGCGGCGATCTATTACGTGCTGGATTTCCATAATCTGAATAGAGCTGATGGTTGTGTCTATCCCTGAATTGAGGGGAAAGAGAGAAAAGAAAGTAAACTCTTCTGCTGAGGAAGAGCGTACTGCGCTCCAGCACAGCCCCCAAACTGCAGAATGTGAAATAGGCATTTCCTAGATAAATGGATTCCATTTGCATTCAAATGGAAAAAGGAGGAGGAGAAGGAAGGGAAGAGGATTTTTTTGCCTGTTGTTATAGTAAATTTTAAGAAAACTAATAAAAATCCAGGCGCCAGTAGGCAGCCCCATAACACCCAAAAGAATTTCTGGACCATGGCAGTCCTACTAAATTGAAACTTATTGAAAATGGAGAGTGCAATGTGAAATGCAATCTGGCCAATAAAGCTTTAAAAAATCACAAAACAGAAAACAAACTTAAAATGTAGTCACACCAGAAGAAGAGGGCAGGAAGTTCAACTAAATTATTAAACTCCATGGACATCAACCACAGCTTGATCCTGAGCGACCATTTCTAACGCCTCCTGAGTGGTGAGGCCGCATCCATTATCAAGACACAAGCCCGTGGGTGTTGGCTGTGTTGCAGCCTTGTCCCTTTCCCCATTCCTCACTCCAGTAATGCCTCACAGCTGGTTTCATTTGCCTGAACCCGCACAGCCAAAGAGCAGAGTCACTTAAAGGTACACTTACAATCACTCCCCCAGTCGGGGCTGGCCGGCGCATCTCCCGCCAGGAATGACGTGCTTCCGTCTTCTGCAGAGGGAAAAAGCCCGTCAGTCTTGGAGACTTGGTCAGGATGAGAAGAAACCCTCTGTCAGTTGAACATCCCCTGCTTCTCTCTCCCACCTTTCAGCCCATCGCATCCCGATCCCACTTTGCACACATCTGGTACATTCTCACCCTTCTCCAAGACGCCATCTATCTGGGGCCGAATGGTGTCCCCCGAGTTCTTAGGTTGAGCCCTACCCCTCAGACTGGGACTGTGCCAACAGGAAGGTGACGAAGTCAACATGAGGCCGGCAGGTGGGCTCCGATCCCACGCAACGGCTGTCCCTCTACGAAGAGGAGGTCAGGACAGACAGAGGCTCCAGGGACGTGTGCGCACAGAGGACGCGGTGAGAAGGCAGCCACCTGTGAGCCGAGGAGGGCGGCCCAGAGGAAACCAGACCTGCCCACGCCTCGATTTTGGACTTCCAGCCTCCAGAACTGGGGAAATAAATTCCTGTGGCTTAAGCCCCAGCCTGTGGTGGTTTGCTGTGGCGGCCGAGTGCTGAGACGCATCCCAGATGAGTCCCTGCAGCCCCCAGATCCCCGTCAGGTGCCACAGCACTTAGTTCAACCACCTTCAGGGACATCTGTCACGACATCGAAGGCATGCTCGCTCTCTGTTACTACTTCACTTTTCACCTACTTTTGCCCTTTCTCAACAACTCCAGAAGAGGGAACCTCTGTTAAAATTTTTCGACTCCTCTGCAACTGCAGCATAATGTGAAGGAAAAGCCCGACTTAAACCAAGGTCATGGGAGGGGCCAGAGCTCGCTTGCGGGAAGGAAGGCGGGGTGCAGCTGTGCCCCCTTCATAGCCAAAAGGGCATTTGAAAAACAACTTTGAAAAGGTAAACATCCAAATCATAAGATGTTCAGTCTATGAAAGAAAATGTCGGTTTCTAAAGTGGATAATCATTTAGTGGGTCGCTACACAAACTTAACAAAAGAATCTTAAAGTTTTTGCAGTCATGTTTCTTTCAATTTGCAGGTGTTTTTCAACTTACGTATTCTTTATTGCCTTCCTTCATTTGCATTGAACAATACAATATTTATATTTTTCAACATAGTTTTGGACACAACACAAAGACATGAACAAGAGACATAAGTTAACACAATGGAGCTGCTTTCATGGGATGAAGAAAGAGGCAAGATCTAAAGCGACTTCCTGTGTGGAATTTCAGCAGGGAAGAGAAAGCCACAGCACACGTGACGGGTAGTCGCTCCTATGTCCGTCTGTCCTGGCTAGTGCTCCTCTCGCCAGGAGAGGGCTCATCCACCGTCTGCACACCTGACGGTGCGCTCCTGGAACACTGCGCCTGTCCACTGCTGTTCCCTGAGACGCGGCGATGCTGGGCTCACGGCGGGTGCGCGGTAAGGACTTAGGAAGGATGGGAGGGAGAGCGGCAGGAAAAAGGAAGAGGAGGACCCCATGCCCTCTAGAAAAGCGTGTCCTCTTGCACACTCAGAGGGGAACTCCCGGGGGGTGGGGGGGGGGAGGCTGGGAATGGATATGGGAAGCCGGCTCCTTCCCACTGTCAGCAAACGGGAATGAGACCGAACCTGAAGGGGCCAAGTTCCCTGAGCATCCTCCCAACACGACGCTTTCCACTGAGAAGAAGTGGATCTTGATCTATGAGGATTTTCCAGAAAATTGAACATTTATTTCCCTTTACATGTAAATATAAGTGCTGTCTCCAAGGCCTCCAGGTTTCTTGGATTCCAGCTGCTCCAACAATAACTTCAAGCACACGTCTCCTGCTATGCGTGTTGCTTGTGATGGCTTCCACAGAAGGCTGGGCACTCACAAGGCACAAAGAGAAGGGGAAGGCAGGACTTGCCTCCTGTCTGTTTTCTTCCTGAACTTTTGTTCTGCTTTCCTGCTGAATTTGCAGGGAAAGGCTCCTTATAAATTCTGGCAATAGGACTGCAGCGTCGCCTCACTTCCACAGGAGTGTGTTTTCAGGCTCCCGGGACACCGAACGCTGTCATAGGATTTAGTATCTGATGAGATAACAGTGTTTAAGTAAAAAGGTGAAGTTGGGAGGAGAGAATCTTGCAGATTAGAATGTCAAAAATGGCTTTTTTGAAAGAAGGATTGGAAATAACAAATTTTAAATCTCCTATAAAACACCTCCAATTTGTCACTTCCCTGAAGCAACTATTCAGTTCTGAAAGGCTGGCTATTGGAAAACCGTAAATGCCCCTGTAGTCGTACGGGGTGGTGCTCATCTCACAAATCCTCCCAGCAATATTCATAGAAACTTCATGTACATTCCCAGCGCTTCCTTGTAAAGCTGGAGCTATATTTCATAGTTGGCAAATGTCATCTCCCAATAAACTAAATTAGAACCTTCTTGGGAGGAGAGATTTAAGATGGCGTCCAACCTGAGTGCACGCTGCTGTGGTAGAATCTGGAGATGGCAGCGCGACGTGTAAACCGTGCTGATGGCTGAGTTCCAACATGGCCTCTTGGACGCCTCTTCCTCCCCTGACTGAACCGGACTCATGCCAAGAAAAAGTCAACGAGCCCAACCCATCGATGACTGAGTCCTTTAACTTGGGGAACCACTTTCTTTTGGTCATTTGCTCTTCTCAGAGTTCTGGGCTCCAAACAAAATAAGCACGAATTCCAGGTGCCTTTTTGCTTTGTGAGATTTTTTAAATCTTTACCAAATCTCCGGAAATCTGTAGAATTGCAGAGATGTTTCCCCCTGACAGGCTCTTTACTTTCTAATATCTAACGCTGCTGTCCATTTAAATCCTTATTGGTTCCACAGATTAAAATCTAATCCATCACAGCCTCACAGTAGAAGCAGATTATTCCAAAATATCCACTTTCCACTTCCTGGTTGGTCTTACCTAAACCTTTTATTAAGTGGAGGGAACGGGGCAACCTTTCTGAAAGACAAGTCACACAACCAACTTAGGCCCCAAGGAGAAAGATGGCCTGAGCCCAGCATGTCACAAAAATGCTGGGTTTTTTTCATTTATTTCACTTGTAGCCTTACCTTCAGGAAAAAGGCTCATAAATGTGTTCCGGGGCTTGGTGAACTCTTAGATTTGACTCTGCATCCCACTGAGAGTGTGTCCAAGTCTGTTTTCTTTTTAATCCTTGAGTTTCTCTTTTATTTGTATTTCTTCATTTTTAATGGGTCTTCAATGTCTCAGAAACATCTGCTTGAAAAGACTATTTGCCTGGCTTTCTCCTCTCTTGGATTTAGGAACCCTGGTGTTACACGGTGCCCTGGACAGAGGGGAGGATGGAGCAGCCACAGAAGAGAAGTGCCTTCCTCGGACCCCCCAGAAACATCCCACACTGGGGACGTCTCAATGGCTGTAGGCAAACTCGAGGGAGCGGTGCTGAAGGGGCTTCTAGAACCATGGACTGGACACTTTCTGCCTCTTCTATCAGAGACTTGGTTCCAGGTGCACACACGCACGTGCCCAAATAAATGGAGGCAAAATGGTGGAGGGGAAGGAACCCAGGACAGGGAGATGGGATCCAGATTCCAAGTCCAGCTTTGCTAGGAACTCACTGCAGAACCTTAAGGAAGGTCCTGGGCCTCTGTTTCATGAGCTGTAAAATGGGTAAGTTGGTGTAAATCAGAAGTTCTCCTGACCTGGGGACTTTGGAATTCCAGGTGATTGCATACAGAGGTCTGTGGTGTGGCCTGTGCACTTGGAAAAAAACACCTCTCCCACAGATCTGTACTATGTTTCAAATGTTACTGTTGGATCAATAAAAATAATTCAGTTAGAAGCTGAACTGAGTTTACAGTTACATTCTCCCTCTACATATTTTCTCAGTCAAATAATTGTAAAAGTATAATGGATTAATAATGGATTCTTGGGGTCAAAATGTCAGGGTGCCACTGGTGTAGCTGCTCTCTGACATTCTATGACTTTAAATCCCACCAAAGTTTCCAGGTTTCCTGGAGGTGAAAGTAAACAGAACAGTTAAATCCTTTCTACTTTTCTCCAGTTAAAAGAGGGAGTAGGGAACCACTGTCCCAGGGTCTCAGGGAGCCTGGTGAGGCAGAACTTAAACGTCACTGTAGCCTGAGAAGCTGAGAGTCGTGTCCAGGAGGACACAGCCAGGCACCGTGGAGCAGATCTGCTGTCTTTCTTCCATGCCTCGCACAGTCATAGCCACATAAGAGCAGACGCGCTGTCCCAGAGAGGAGAGCAACAGGCCTGCGTCTGGTTTCCTAAGGGCCACTCCTCCCAGTGCTCCCCGGATGTGAAGAGCTGGTCCCTGCAGGAGGGAATCCGCCCCAGGGTCAGGACACTATTCGAAAGTGAAGACTGGCCTGGGCCATGACGGCTCTCAGGTGAGACGGTCTCTTCTGAGGACTGCTCTCAGATAAGGACAGTGTGTCCCCAGTGTGGGCTCCCAAGGTAAGAAGAGGATTGACCAGCCGCAAGGTTCCATGTGCTTTCACAAGGCACGTAAGGCTTTGAGGATTTTGGTGACAGTGTTGGCTTTTCCCGTATTTGAAACCATGAGAATACGACAACTGAAACTAATTCCTTCCTTCACATCGAACTGTTACCCTCAGCCTATAGTGACGCATCTGTTCTCAAGTTCAGTCAAAAATTGCTTTCATGAGAAAACAACACAAGCATTGCCTCCTACAGGTGTGGGAAGAGCTCTCCATGCCTCACCTGCCTCACTGGAAAGATGAGTAAAACAGCAGTGCTTGTCTATTAAGCTCGTGAGGATTAAATGACTTATTCACGTGGAAACTTTATGACAGTGCTTTTGTGAACAGTAAGGCCTCATTGCATCGCGATGATGATGGTGATTTGTAAAACTGATTTATTCAAGGTTATGATACGGAATAATATCAAAAGGAAACAGAAATTACCTTGCTGCCCCCAAACATCAACCCCTGACCACGTTCTACGTGTCGGTCATCAGGGCTGCTCGGAAAGATTCTGCTTCATCTTCTTCCAGGCCCAGGTTAGGTCTGCACTGCACTGTTTGTAAATTAGACACGACTGATGTCACCTGCTTTGGCCACCGAAGTGTAAGCAGAAGTGGCCTGTGTTCCACCCCGTGGAAGCTGTAGGAGTCAGCGCACACTCTTACCACCGCTGCAGAGATCGTGGAAGTACACATGGACGTGGAGTCCGTGAGCCGAGTCCTGAGTGACACGCTGGGAGGAGCCCCCTTTTGGTCCACATTTGACATAGAGAGGCAGGAATAAATTTTCACCGCAGCATCCCAACAGATAAGCCATACTAATTGTACATATTGCTATTATTAGCATCATCATTATTGTTATTTTAGACACTCATTAATGTGTGTGTATACAGACGGAGATTGCCTTTGATCAAGTTTCCATAATTTTTTAACAGGAAAATTCTGTTACTTAACAAGCATATGTGTGTTGTGTGTGTGTGTGTGCACGTGTGTCCACGTCCCTAGGAGGAAGACGAAGAAGATATTCTGAAGGTGGAATGCCAACCTGACTGACAGTTGACCCTGAACTCCTCAGCTGAAAGAGCCTCTACGTCTCGCCCTACGTGGTTTGGGCAGAGGGCCCAGACACCACATCCTTTTTTAAGTTCTAAGTGAACCAGAGACCCTCCCATCTACACGTCACCACGTTGCTTGTCCTACTATCACAGTCTTTGTTGGCAACAGACAAATGAGACCCTCTGACTTGAATCAACCAAAATCACTGGGCAGGGAACTCAATATCATAGGTGATTGCATGTTTGTGTGCATGTGTTTGTAAAGGTCTTGCCGCCCCAAGTAGAAGAGTGGAACCATTATCTGGAACTTTTAACAGGCTCTCCAACTAAATATCGACAGGGGAAACCTCAGCCCCAAAGAGCTGGGTGTTTCCCTCTGAACGTCCCTTACCTGCCCACGGCCCCCAGTGCAGCTCCTTCTCCTCGGACCGCCCTTGGACAGGACTGGTGAGGGCGGCTCTCCTCCCCCCGATGGGGCAGCACTGAGTCTCCTGACACGGCAGGATCTCACAAAAAGTGACTTCTGGCCCGAGAAAGGAGGACTGTGTGGCGGCCAGGGATGTGTTCCAGGCTGCAGGGCATTGGGCAGAAGAGAGGGGGCCACAAGGTTCACCTGACGGGCCGCTTCTCCTGTTGAGGATTCCCGGGACGCGGGCTGGCTGACAGCGAGGAATGTGAAGAACTCACCTGCGGGGGAGGCGGTGGGCGGCAGGGCTGGCTCCTGGGAGCTCGTGACGTTGCTGGAGGAGGACAGTGAAAGGATTCATGCAGGCAGCCTGCAAAAATCCCTCTCCCCAAAGGAAACAAGACCAGAACTCTCACCTCGGAGGGAGATTCGGGACACGTTGCTCTTGAGCTTTCAAGCTGAGTACGTAAAGGGTGACTATTGTCAACGCACTGTTAAAAAATAAGAAGACAGCATTAGGTGGCACAGTTGACTCCAGACATATCTCACACGGCCACTGGCCAGCAACGTGCTCTCCCAGGTCACACAGATGGGGGCGCCTGGCTGACAGCAGCACACAGAAGCCCACACAGCCAGGCCTCTCCACCCCGGTGAGAAAAAGCCCTGTCTCCTGCAGCTCAGAGGCTCCTGGGTGCCCTGTGCTGATGGATTTTCCCAGAGGACAGCCCCCGGCCCTGGCGAGCTGTCTCAGAAGCAGGAGTCTGTCACTGGTGGAAGACGACAAGAGGAAGAGTACAATCGCTGGAGGCAGCCCTCTGCTCCCTGGAGGGAGAAGCGGGAGCAAAGTTCACTCCCACGGGCGGAGGGCGTCCGCACGGGCGCTGGGAGATGACAGGAGCCCCAGGTTAGTCGGCTGTGGTGCTCACCCCCGTGGCTGCCAGTCTTTTCAGAGCACAATGCACCAAACTGGACAGAGGAAGGAAAAGAAATGCAATAAAGCATCCATTCCCACACTACATGACTTCAAAATAGTAAGTCTATCTTCCCGCCGATTGTCAGAGCGAATCTGTCCAAATAGAAGCTTTCCTTCCAGGCTCTGAGTTTCGGGAAGCTGTTCCCAACATCGCTCACTCATCCAGTCGCTCAGCACTCTCCTCTCCTGGAGGTGTCTTCAGAACTCTCCTACCCGCCGAACAAGAAAGTCTGCTGGTGACTTTGCAACCCTGCTATCTGTGGGGCCTGACGCGGGGTGACCTCACTGGACTTCTGCCAGTTGATGTCACACCTGGTCCCCTGGACTCAGCTCCTGTTATCTTCTTCCCCATCAAAGGTGGTGAATTTAGTATCATTAAATATACAGAAAAAAATATGCACACGTTTGAGTTCCACTGCTGAAGAAAGAATTCCTAGAGCCACCGCTGGTCACCGCTCAGCAGGCACAGCCCAGCCTGGGGAAGTGGTGTGAGCCCCAGAGACGCCTGCAGACAGCACTCGTGCTGTTGCCTGGCAACTGCTTGCTGTGGTCCAGCCCCCAAAGCCCCTACTCTCTGCCTCCCTATCGCAGGCCCTTAAATACTCTCTGAGTTGTCTCTGGCATCTGCTTCAACACACAGCCCAGAGAACGTTTGGATCGCAGAATGAAACGGACATCTGCTCTTTTCTTTGGGGACAAACTCTGGTTTTGACCCTTCTAGGGTACAAAGGCCAGAAACAAGGTAATACACTTAATTTCTCCCATTTGTGGTCTTAGTGGTCGACAATGTTGGAATTCATAAGATCTGATAAGCACATTTAAAAAGCAGTCTCTTTCTGTCAGAATTACACTTCCTATAACATTCCCGTTGGGTTTTCACGGGAATCTCTCTAGAGGATGCTAAGTACGTCTATGAAAGGTAGACTCTCATGCTCTCCTGACTCGGGAATCCCAGCAGAAGACAAGCTCACGGAGGAGAGTGAGAAACTGCAACGGCTTCCAGAGGGAGTCCTGTGTTGTGGGGTCACACAGGTGGGGTGCTCCCCACAGTGGGCAGTAGCAAGTGAGAAGTTAAGATGCAATGGGGAGAGAAGGGTGCAGAGAGACCCACTGTCCTCTACAGCTGGGAAGCTGCTTGAGATCCAGGCACTGAAGCACCTTGGCCCCGTCCCTTTCTTTGCCTCTGAGAACGACTGTCTCCCCGAGACAGGGCCCAAATCTAGACCTTTCCCACACTAACGGAGCATTTTCCAAGGGACAGATATACCCCTTTCACCGTGTGGATAGCAGACTAAAAACAAGCCAGGAGGACAGAGGCAAGATGACCAGGGCTCAAAGGCTGAGGGGCCGTCAGGACAGCTGGCCGAGCCCAAAGACCAGAGGCCTGAGGAGGACTCCCCATCCCAGTGAGGGAGGGCCCCCTCCCTGCAGAGGGGCACAGTGGTCAAAAGGCACCCGATGCTCGCACAGCAAATACTTTGTCCTTCCTGTGTTTGTTTTCTTTAGCTGTTAGCAAATTTGGCTGCAATTTCACCACATTGTCCATCTTGGGGTAATCTCCTAGTCCCGTTGGTGTGAAGTACCCACTGAAGAATCCAGAAGAATCCGAATAAATAGGAGTGTCCAGGGGACAGTGGACTGTACCTGAATGCTTACTCACTCTTTTCCTCCAAGTAGACAGGAGGGAGAACAAAGAATTTGAGAAAGTTACTCCAGAGAGTCAAAAAAATACACACACACACACACACGTGAAAGGCACAGGCAGCTGTTAAAAACATCAGATGATTGAAAAAAGATCATCCTTCATCTCACACCTCAGTGCAGGAAGCCTGTGCTGCTTTTCTTCAAAGGATGAGTTTATTAAGGGCTCCCTCATCGCCAAGCTGAATCAAAGGTCAACACCCCCTTTAAAGGGCTCCTGGTCTTCGGAGTAAACAGAAGGTCAGTACCCCTTGGCGTGTGAGAAAGGAAGACGGGAAGAAAAAAGAGCTTGACACAGCATAACAATGAGGTTTTCTTACCAAAATGCCATCACAGCAATGAGACTTATAACCAAGGTCTGGAAAACCCAGTTAGGACACGACTGTTTTTTTCCTGAAAAATAAACCTACAAAAAGATTCAGTGATGAGCAGTGATGAATCCGCGACCACCTGTGAGAAGGATGCTGGAGGCTGACCTCTGCTGCCCCCCTGGGACGGAGGAGGCTCCTTAACCACCTCTCCCTCCTCCTCTCTGTCTCTCCAGAACGTCTCAAGCCCCTCCCTTTCCTTGACCTCGAGGCTACAGCAATCTGTCTTCCCCGACCTCCCGAGGGACAGGCGTCTGCGCCATCCAGTCAGCGCTCATTCTTGAAGTTTCATGAGAGAAGAGGACCTACCAGACAAGATCCCGTCAGAACCCAGACGTCCATCTCCTTTAATAGCATACTGTTGAAAATCAAAAGGTCTTCAAGACATTATGGAATAAACCCCAATGGAAGAATTTCAGGCATCAGGACAAACCACGGAAAAGATTCTTGTGGCAGGCAATACTGTTAAGTACTTCTTAAATCATATACATTGGTATCCAATTCTGCCACCTATTTTTAAGGACAGTTCTGGCTTGTGTCTTATTTATTCTTTTATCCATTCAACAAATATTCCTTAAGCACCATGTACAACAGTGTAGGGAACGTAATAATCAGTCAATTACAGTCTCTAGGAAACAATGAGACAAGCCTTTAGGATGGATACATATTGGTATAAAAACTTGCATATGAGGAATGGGCCAAGAACGACAGGACAGACAGCTGTGCAGCCGGCGGGGAATCTGCTGGAGAGACGAGATCTTTGCCCACTCAGACAGGGCGCGCCTTAGACGCGAATTTTCCTGCCAATGTGATAGGTAGTGTTCTGTTGCTTCCTCCTGGGGTGCAGGGTAGAATCATGTTTACTAGTCGGAAACAAATTGGAGGACAGCAGTGGCTAAGAAACAGCTTAAAATTGGTCTTTGTGTGAATTTCTTGGGCTGGCTATCTGAATAAAGAAAATGTTCTTCAATGTAATATGTGGGGGGGGGGGGGAAGATGGGGGATTAACCTTTTTAATGAGTACCCAAACCCTTAGAGCTATGGTAACTGAGTCTTCCCTGAGTGCAGCTGGGGGTCACTGAGAACACCGGGAACCAGCAGATTTGCACCATTCCTGCGCCTCATTGGAACTGCCCCGAGGACATGCTAACAGTGAGCATGGAGGAGGAACTCAGAATTAAATAGTATTGGCCTCAGGATAAGCACTTCCCCATGCAAGCGACTCCCCCTCTGCCGGATTACTGTAATCTCCATGGTTTTCCTCAAAACCCTCTGAGCTGGTACAGGGAAATGGCCCAAGACCCGGAGTCAGACTTGGAGTCGAGTCCTGAACAAGTCATCTAAACGTCATTGATCCTCATTTTCCTCATCAATAAAGCAGGAATGATGACTAACACCTGCCTGCCTTTCAGAGTTACTAAGTGGGTCCACCTAGCAGGGTAATGGTCTGCTTGAGAATTACCATGGAGCTTGTTAAAAACCTAAATTCCCTGAAAAATTCTGACTCAAAAGGTTTTCATTTGGGGTGGTGTGGGGGCAGGGAATCCGCAAGAGGTGGGAGAATGGACAGGATCCATGTTCGACCCTTCCCTCTCCCCCTCCTGCTCCACACACCCAGTGACACGCCTGGAAGACTGACATGTGCCACGTCTGAGAACCAGTGAATAGTGAGCTTAAACATACTGACACGGTAGACACACGCACACATGAGGTGCCGTAAATGCTCCTGAGAGCTTATGCAACTAACACATTTAACCTTCACAATGACCTCAGCCATCCCATGATGCGGGTGCTGCTGTCTCCATTTCAGAGACGGGAGAAAGGAGGGCCAGGAAGGCTAAGTTCCTCCCCCAGATCACACAGCTAGCAAGCCACAGAGGCAGACCAACCAAGAGACATTTGGCCCCAGAATCTGTGCTCTCAACCACAATGCTTCGTGTCCTCCCTTTTACCGTCTGTAAACAAAGGAAGCACTATACAACTTAGCAAGTGTTATTCAGAAGGTCTCACGGCTTACCCAACGAACTCCCTGCCCTGGTGGTCCAGAAGCTGAGCCTGCCCTGTATTTCCAGCCTCATCTCCTCCCCAACCAACTCCCACCTAACGCTCAGTGCAGCCGTCCAGCTCCAGGCATCGCTGTGTCCTTCATCTGAAACCTCTCCCAGAGCCTGTTCCTATCTGGCTGAAGCTCACTGCCCCACGAAGGCCGGGTGCCCGCGTCATCCCGGCAGCGCCCGGAGCCTCTGCACCACCGATCGCATCCAGCCACCACTGTTCTTCCTGTTCCCTTCTGACCTTCCCTGGCTACCCTTAGGAGAAGGGGCCACCTCTGACTCCCCTTTGTCTGCCTGGGACAGTGGCCGCAAGAGGTCCCTGAGTTGAAAGGGCGCTCTTTAATGCCTACATGAGTCCCTGACTCTGTGTCCACATCCCAATCCCCCACCCTACCCACACAAGACATTGAATCATGCAATGTGAGCATTCAGGGCATCCCTTCAGACTGGGCTCTCCAGTCATGCATTCATCTGGCAAACACTCCTTGAGTAGGACCAACCGAGCCCCCGGGACGCAGAGTGAGGCCGCAGACGCAGGGCCTGCGCTCAGGGACTGCACCTTTTAGTTAATATTCAGAGAAAACTGCACAGAAAAGAGATTCTCCGGCTGCACAGTGGGAGTACAGAGGTGTCCCTGAGCAGATCACACCTATCAGGCCACCAGGGACGTGGACACCATTCCTTCCATCCCACAGCAAACTGGTTCTTGTAAGGGCAGCTTCCCTGCACACTATTTTTAAGGTTGTGTGTTTACTGAGCAACCGGCTCTGTGCTGGCACTGGGCTCAGGGCTCCAGCTCATTGAATCTCATCGACAGTCTGTGTAAGGCTGACACTGTTGTCATCTCCGCTTTCCGAGGCAGTGAAGTGACTTGACCACAAACACTCCTACACAGGTGCTTATCCACGTATTTATGCTCGATGGTGCACCAAGAAGCTTGTCAGCAGCATAACGTTTTAGTAGTTTCTGGTAGAATATTAAACTCTTTCTGCACCCTTTTAGATTAGCTCAGTGCAGTATGACACAAGGAGTAGAGAATAAACTAGGGCAATGTCCCAAACATCAGGTCAGCCCTTACTGGGATGTAGATGAAGGTCATGAATGTCTTCCTCTGGGCAGGGCCACCCTAGAACACTGGCGGATCAGAGGGGGCAGGCTGGGTCTCACAGCCATCCGCGAAGCGCACCTAGCAAGGGGGGCCTGCAGTTGCTCCCTCACTGACACTTCTCTGCAATGGAGAGGGTGTCCTTAAGTTAATAAATGATTAACCTTCACTTTTACTGTAAATGTGATCCTACTGGTGAAGTTCTCTATTCGTTAAAAAAGCCATCACATTTTAACCTTTGCAAGCAAGTGGATATCTATTCTCCATGTGCACGTATAGTACTAAATATCAAAGGGAAAAGAGGGCTTTGAGGATTAACTGCAGTCCCTTTGGGGTCTTCTGAAGTCAAAGATAAGGAACGAAGTGGAGTCTAGGCATCCACACAGACCTCGCAGCCCAGGGCCACGTGCCTGCAAGGCTGACGAAGTTCACCTGATGGGGACAATACATACAAAAACTGGCAGGATAATGTTGTAACCAGGGGAACCAGGTAAAGAAAGGGGTACCAAAGGTCTGGCAGAAAAACTAACATTATCTGTTGAGTGTTTTGCAGAGGGACAGTTTCAGGAAGAGCCCAACTAAGAAGGTTCCCCCAAGCAAGCTAACTGAATCCCATCCTAGCTGCCTCAAACTGCCCCAGAATGAACTAAAGTGGACTGTCGTCATCATAATCTCACTGTAACAGTAAACTCTCTGCCCAGGGCAAGACTTAGCTGCCATTTTCTATACATGCGATGTATGAAGACACAGGATTAACGATTGTGCTTGCGCTGGATCCCCCCTCTTATGTGCCATGACAAGGGCTTCTATCGTGATTATTCATGAACGCTCCCCACAAAAAGAAGCCCAAGCTGTGCTCAGGAGACACTGCTCGGGAGCCAGCCCCAGTGTTCTCCATTGCTTGTGCCAGGAATAAAGCTTCCTTCACCCACTTTTGCCTTGGCTGTGCTTTTTGGCTCCACACTCAATGGGAGATGAACCCATTTGTGTCCAATTACAGTGTTTCTGAAATAAACATGTTTTGTCCTCATTTCTCTAGACTTCTCCTTGAAAAAACAGTTAATGTCTATTAGAGGGATAGTATTTAAATATCTGAAGTGCATAAGGATGCAAACTAGGCAATCTATCCACAAATAAATGAAGAAAAAAATTATTGATGAATTTCTCTAAAGACTTTTCCTGTACAGAAAATATCACCTCTGTTTATTATAAACTTAAGTCTATTTACCTTGCTGTTTTTGGGGGGAATGGGCCTTCTTGGAGAAGATGCATTAACAGCTCTGCTAAATTTGCTTTGAAAAGAGAGAGAGAGAATTAATTACTATTCAAATGCCTCTCCAGGAGTTATAGACAAAAGCCCAGGCTGTCACTAGCACAGCAGTATGATTTTTTTGTGATGCAGCAGTAATTTAGAAAAGGAAAAGTGAAGGCAATTGAGAGTTCCTTTCGTGGAAAACAGCCTTAGTAAGCATAAATGAATGCATTAAAAGTTACATTTCTCTTTTTCTCAAAATTATACCCCAGGAAATGTGCATTTACCTCCTTAAGTAAGAAAAATAAATAAATAAAATCCCCCCATCCCCCGAGACCAAACGCGGTTTTCTAAATTTAGAAACGGCCATCTCTCCTCGTTAAAGGAGAAGCCATCCTTTTGCTAAAATGTAGCACTTCCTGTGAACTGCTCTTAAACAGATGTGGCATGTTTTGTTTCATTTTAAAGTAGCAACAGAAAAAATAATAAAATTATCACACAAGGCAATTGTGTTTCAAAACATTCTGAAAGAGGAATAGGGACCTAATTATCAGAAAGCAGCGGTTGCTGCGGGATGGAAAAGACCATTCGGATTGATCTGGTTATGGAAACACCCACTCTTCTCTCTCCGAATCCCTGTGGCCATCCCGCATGTACCTGATGGAGCTCGCCTCACTGGCTGAGGACTTCCAACTGCTCAGCCGCTTCAGCCTGGCCAGCTTTCTGTTCCATATTTCTAACTCTTCTATTCTTTCTTCAAGGTTGTTGGTTAGTTTGCAGAGCTGCTTCACTGCACCTACATTTTCCATAAAGATCTGGTCCTAAAAATGAAAATAACACAGAGTGCATAAATTTACAGTTTGAGACCAGCAGAGAACTGTCTGTAGCCCATTCGAAGACAGCTGGAGCACACCACTGAAAATGGTTATAGACACACATAACCTCAAGTTCATTCAAGATAAATCTGGAGAGGTTTGCAACTTAAAATGGTCTTGCTAAACTGCTGGCTGTGTAGTAAAGCTGCTTACGTTCCATTTGCAATAAAATGGAAATATGTCCTTGTCCCAAGAGGCAGAATGGAGCTGAAGGACATCGTTGAGTTTGGAATCCAAAGATTTATTGTCAATGGCCACTATGCTATATTTAAAACTCATAAAAAGGAAGTCAGAACAGGCTTCTGAATGTTGATTTGTGTGTGCGTCACTAAATCCTCCTAAGAAATGAGGCCAGTTCCTCCTGGTAAAAGGTGCATCAAATTGCTTCGGCGAAGGAGGGAGGAATAAAGCCCTGGGCTTTTCTCTACTTCTGCTGCTTCCTCAATGTGAGACCCCAAGAAAAATACAACAACCTCTCTGAACTTCAGCTTCTTCATCTATAAATGAGAGGATAATTCTTGAGGTGTTAATTTCTGCTTTAACATCCCGTGAGCTACCATGTACAATTTATATTTTAGCCTAACTCCCAAACAAAATCTAGAACAACAACAACACTTAATTCTTCCTGTTCAGAGAAAGTCACTGACATGTCAGAAAGAGCAAGAAAGGGGAGACCTAGCAAGGCCAGATTCCCGGCTCTCCCCTCCCCAACCAATCACTGCAGTTGTCAGGGGAGCATGTGTGTCTGCGTCTCAGCCACAACAAAGACCCAGAAAGCTCTCACTGGCTCACACCCTGGTCCCATGACCTCTCCTTCTTTCCCTCTCTCTGTTCACAAGCTCAGAACACCACAGTGCTCCTTGGGGCTTGTAGAGGCTGGTCCATTATTGTAAAGTGATGAGCTCGAGGCCAAAGGAAAAAGACTGCTTTGTGGTTGGGAGATCAAACTCAGGGCCATGTGTCTGAGATTCTCATCATGCAAACCAAAGCTTTAAAGGTTTCAAGCACTGTAAAGCAACTGCTCAGAAAGGACTCAAAAGCTGACCATTACAGATTTAAGGCTTAGTTTGTGCAGTTTAAAGACATGCACACTAGTGTAGAACACACTGGTAAAGGTAAGCATAAAGTCAATTTCAGAATACTTGAATACTGTACCATGCTGGTGTGTAAATCACTATACTATAAAGGTTAAAGGGCAAAAGTATTAAAAATAACTAAAGCTACAATAATTTGTTAATGGTATGCACATAAAAAGAGGTAAATTATGACATCGAAAACACAGAATGTGGAGGAGGCAGTAAAAGGACAGAGTTTTTGTATGCGATCAAAGTTAAGTTGTCATCAGCCTACAAGAGCCTACTACATCTACGAGATATTTATGTAAACCTCCTGGTCACTACAAAGAAGAACCTACAGTAGATACGCAAAAGATAAAGAGAAGGAAATCAAAGCACGCCACCACCAAAATCATCAGTTCACAGAGGAAGTCAGCAAAAGAGGAAGAAAGAAACAAGGGAAATGCAAAACAGCCAGAAAACAATAAGATGGTGTGAGTAAGCCCTTACCTATCAATAATTACTTTAAATTCTCCAATCAAAAGGCACAGAGTTGGCTGTATGGATTAAAAAAACAAGACTCAACTATATGCTGCCTACAAGAGACTCACATCAGCTTTAAGGACACACATAGGTTAAAGGAATGGGAAAAAATATTCCATTCAAATGGAAACCAAAAGAGAACAGGAGTAGCTATACTTGTATCAGGTAAAATAGAATTTAAGTCAAAAACTGTAACAAGAGACAAAGAAGGTCATCTTATAAAGGCAAAGCAGTCAATTCATCAAGAGGTTATCACAATTGTAAATATGCACCCAACATTGGAGTACCTAAATATATTAAGCAAATACTAACAGACATGAAGGGAGAAATAGATAACAATACAACAATAACAGAGGGCTTCAATATTCCACTTTCAACGATGGATAGATCATGCAGACAGGAAATCAATAAGGAACATTGGACTTAAAGTATACTTTAGATCAAATGTACCAAATAGATATACACAGAAATTCCATCCAACAACAGCAGAATACATAGTCTTCTTAAATGTACACAGAACATTATCAAGGATAGATTTTTAGGCGACAAAACAAGTCTTAGCAAATTTAAGATTGAAATCATATCAGGTATCTTTTCTGACCACAGTAATATGAAACTAGAAATCAATAACAGGAAGAAAACTGGAAAATTCACAAATATGTGGAAATTAAACAATACATACCTGAAAAACTAATGGGTCAAGGAAGAAATCAAAAGGGAAATTGAAAAATATCTCAAAACGAATGAAAACAGAAACACAACATGTCAAAATTTATGGGATGCAGCAAAAGCAGGTCTAAGAGGGAAGTCTATGGCAATAAACACTTACAGTAAGAAAAAAGAAAGACCTCAGAAAAATAACCTAACTTTACACTTCAAGGAACTAGAAAAAGAAGAACAAACTCAGATCAAAGTTACTAGAAGGAAAGAAATAACAAAGATCAGAGCAGAAATAAATGAGATAGAGAGCAATAGAAAAGAGCAACAAAAATAGGAGCTGGTTTTTTGAAAAGACAAACAAAATTGACAAACCTTTAGACAGACTAAGAAAAAAGAGAGAGGATTCAAATAAATAAAATCAGAAATGAAAGAGGAGATGTTACAACTGATACCACAGAAACACAAAGGATTATAAGAGACTACTATGAACACTTATACTCCAACAAATTGGACAACCTAGAAGAAATGGACATTCTTAGAAACATGCTACCTACTAAGACCAAATCATGAAGAAATAGAAAATCTGAACAGATCAATTAAGAGTGAGGAGATTGAATCAGTAATCAAAAAGTTCCCAAAACAAACAAAAGTCCAGGACCAGATGGCTTCACTGGTGAATTCTGTCAAACATTTAAAGAAGAATTAATACTAATCCTTCTCAAACTCTTCCGAAAAACTTGAAGAGGAGGGAGTGCTTCCAAACTCATTTTAAAAGGCCGGCATTACCCAGATACCAAGGGCAGATAGGGACACTATGAGAAAAAACAATTAGAGGCCATATCCCTGACGAATACAGATGCAAAAATCCTCAGCAAAATATTAGCAAACCAAATTCAACAATACATTAAAAGGATCATACACCATGATCAAGTGGGATTTATTCCTAGGATTTAAGGATGGTTCACCACCTGCAAATCAATCAATGTGATGCACCACGCTAACAAAACGAAGCATGAAAATCACGTGATCATCTCAATAGATGTAGGAAAAGCATTTGAGAAAATTCAACATCTTTTCATTATAAAACCTCTCAACAAATTAAATCTAGATGAAATATACCTCAACATATTAAAGGTCATATATGACAAGCCCAGAGCTGACATCACACTCAATGATGAAAAGCTGAAAGCTTTTCCTCTAAGATCTGGAAGAAGACAAGGATGCCCACTCTTGTCACTTCTATCCAATACAGTACTGGAAGTCCTAGTCAGAGCAATTAGGCATGAAAAAGAAATACAAGGCATCCAAATTCAAAAAGAACAAGTAAAATGGTCTCTGTTGCACATGACATGACCTTATATATAGAAGATAAAGACTCCACCAAAAAACTGTTAGAACTAATCAACAAATTCAGTAAAGTTCCAGGATACAAAGTCAACATACAGAAATCAGTTGTGCTTCCATACACTAACAACAAACTATCTGAAAAAGAAATATAGAAAATAATCCTATTTACAATAGCATCAAAAACAATAAAATACTTAGGAATAAATTTAACCAGGGTGGAAACTGAAGAAGCCACAAATAAATGGAAAGATATCTCATGTTGTTGGATCAAAAGAATTGATATTGTTAAAATGTCCACACTACTCAAAGCCACCTATAGATGCAATGCAATCCCTATCAAAATTCCAATGGCATTTTTTACACAAATAGAGAAAACAATCCTAAAATTTGTATAGAACCAGAAAAGACTCCAAACATACAAAGCAATCCTGAGAAAGAACACAGCTGGAGGCATCACACTTCCTGATTTCAAAATACAATACAAAGCCATAGTAATCAAAACAGTATGGTCCTGGCATAAAAATAAACACAGAGACCAATGGAACAGTATAGAAAGCCCAGAAATAAAGCCATACATATATGCTCAACTAATACTTGACGAGGGAGCCAAGAATAATCAATGGGGAATGGATAGCTTCTTCAATAAATGGTGTCAGGAAAACTGGATATTCACATGCAAAAGTATGAAACTGGACCCCTATTTTACACCACCCACAAAAGTTAACTCAAAATGGCTTAAAGACTTAAATGCAAGACCTAACACCTTAAAGCTCCTGAAGAAAACATAGGGGAAAAGCTCCTTGGCATTGGTCGTGGCAACCATTTTTTGGATATGGCACCAAAAGCAAAGGCGACAAAAGCAAAATAAACAAGTGGGACCACATCAAACTAAAAAGCTGCTACACAGCAAAACGAAAAGGCAACCTACCAAATGAGAGAAAATATTAGCAAAACATATATCTGGTAAGGGGTTAATATTCAAAATATATAAGGAACCCATATAACTCAGTAGAAAAAAGTAAATAATCTGATTTAAAAATGGGCAGAGGACTTGAATGGACATTTTCCCAAAGACATAAACATGGCAAACAGGCACATGAAAAGATGCTCAACATCACTAATCATCAGGGAAATGCAAATCAAAACCACAGTGAGGGGCCGGCCCCCTGGCTGAGTGGTTAAATTTGCCCGCTCTGCTTCGGCAGCCCAGGGTTTCGCTGGTTCGGATCCTGGGTGCAGACATGGCACTGCTCGTCAGGCTGTCGTGAGGTGGCATCCCATATGTCACAACTAGAAGGATCCACAACTAAAATATACAACTATGTACTGGGGGATTTGGGG